GGCTGGGCTGGGGCTGGGCTGGGGCTGGGCTGGGGCTGGGCTGGGGCGGGTGTGCAGTACCAGGAAAGGAAAGTAAGGCTCTGGCAGGGCTCCTGAAGTACCCCGGGGAGCCCTTTTTCTGTTAGAGGGCTTTGTGTCCCTCACTGAGGAAGACTATACTTCCTCTCTCCCAGACAAGCTGTGATACATCCCAAAGAGTTGGAAACAGTACTGCTTGCAACTGAAATACCATTCCATCATGTCATTCTTATGAATAATATTCAGTGGTTCCTGTGACCAGTGGTGTCTTTGTGGCATCTGGTCTGATAGTCCATGCCTGCCTTTATCTGAGCATCCTTCCTGCATCCTTTCCCAGCACCAGCCTCTGCTTTCTTCCCATCATACTTTCATTGGTTGTTTTCCCGCGTATTGCTTACTGTTTTGCAGATCATCCACTGTCAGTGTTCCATTCAGTTTTTATCTAAAACTGTTATGCATATAGCATTGTTTCTTTGCTAATTTGTTTAGGAGGGGTGGTAGCAGAGTTTAGCATCCCTTCACTTCTTCCCCATTCCTTCATTTCTCTGTGGCTCTCACAGCCTTTGTGACAGGACTAGACACATAGAATGTGAATGCAAAGATGCATTCTGTGGGTAATGTGAGGATGTGGGTTAGAGGTGGACCGTGGCCAGGGTGGACGTGAGGGTGTGGGGTGGTGGAGGTGGACCCTGGGCAGTGTGGACGTGAGGGTGGGGGTGGTGGAGGTGGACCCTGGGCAGTGTGGACGTGAGGATGGGGGTGGTGGAGATGGACCCACCCTGGGCACTCTGGACATCAGGAGGTTGGCTAGAAGTGGTAGTCCTAGGCAGTGTGGACATCAGGAGGTTGGCTGGAAGTGGTCCTGGGTAGTTTAGATATGAGAAGGTAGGGTGGAGGAAGGAGCCCTGATGTATAGTGATTTGCAATATACCCTGATTGTCTTTTCTTTGTCATCCCCCCAACCTTTTTTTGTCCCTCTTAGCCCGAAAGTGGTGGGACAGCTGGCTCAACAGATGATTGGATATAATCTAACAACGAAGCAAACTCCGAAAGAAGGTGTGAAGGTTAACAAGGTAACATGGATGCTCTTGGTCATTTTGTATGTCCTTAAACCGAAGAGCAGAGAGCTAGACTGCGTTCTGACAGATTCTCATGAAGCCATTGCCCCATGGCTGTGTGCTGCTTTCGTTGAGGGAGTGCTTGGAAGAAGGACCCGAAGGACTGTAGACATTGCCATTTACCAAAAGCCGGTGAGGTGAATGACCAGAGCGGCGGTCTTCCATTCACGGCACCCAGGCCACGCATTGTGCTTGCAGTTGGCAAAGCTCAGCAGGGCAGCCTTGTACTCAGCAAGCCCCTCCTCTTCCCCTGTAGCTCCACCCTCAGGCTTTTCCATTAGAATTACCCTTTGCAGTGGTTTTTCTTAAAACAAAACAAAAAACACCGCAGGCTATACTTCTAAGCTACTGCTGCTAGTGTAGTACTAGTGAGGAGTGCAAGCAGTAAACTCGTACAGTGTGTGCATGCGTACATATGGCCCATAGACATGCATACGCAGAGGAAGGAAAGCTCAGGGGAAAATGGCCTGCCTCTGCTGTGCAGTTGTGAATCTTCCTGAAGCTGTTGTGCATACCCCCGTGCAAAACAAAGACCACGCGGAGACAATGTTCACAATGCAAGGTGTTTGTCGTAGAATGTGAATTCTACAGCAGAACCCCTTGGGTGTCCCATGTGGCGACCCTAAAGACAGCCAAGGCTGGAAAAGACCCATCGTAACATTGAGATGTTGGTCACTACCACATATGTTATTATTTTATTTTCACTTAGAAGCTACATAGGAAATGCTACTGTGTTCTAACAATGTTGGTAGAATACTGTTACCTAATTTGCCATGTTTTATCATCGTTTTTCCACAGTATTAGAAAGTTTAAAATTTTTTTTTATGTACAATAATTACTTCATCTACATGGCCTACTAAACAAATTTATTGGCTCCACCTTTTGTCCCTGTTCTGTTGCCATTGTATCAGAGCCTTGCAGCCTCTATCACTGTGCTGTATTTGGGGGCCACTGAGAGGTACATTCTACTTTCTGTTTTCACAGAACTTTAGAACAATTCTTGACATAGCCCTAGAAAGCTTGTCCTTACTAAATTATGGTGGGGTACGATGCTAGCTGAAATAGGGACACTGGAAAGCAGAAGATATCCTAAGGAGACATTATGCCCTTCCCTGTACAGCTCAGACTATTGTGAAAGTGCACCCCAAGAACTTGGAATCTCCTTGGGAATGCCGTTTTGGGAAAAGGGAAAGGCTGAAGCCTGCTGCTAGGCTGGGGAGGAGCTGCCCTTCCAGGAAGGTTTCACACAGCCCCAACAACCTGCCAGAGCGCCCTGCAGAAGGGACTGGAAACAGTGCCTGGCTGTCCTCACTCATGCCTACTCAGATCTCTTGCTCTAAACTCATGTCAGGACCTAAAAGATGGGCTTGGGGAGAGGGTCGCTGAACATCTGTGTTCCTCTTCCCGGTGTGTCACATTGACTGAATGTCCTTCTCTACTTTTTGCTATTGTTTGTTTAACTGGCCTGTTGAGATTTAGAGCCGAGTCTAGCTTGCTAGGATGGCCAGCACCAGGATCATCGTAAAGTCGGCTCCTGTAACAGCAGGACTTTGGGATGCTGCGAAGTCATTAGTTTTATCTACTAAAGCACCAAATCATCACAGACGCTAAGGAGCAAACCCAGAAGCTGATCGTGGGTCTGTCTCTTTACAGCCCCATCTCAGGTGGAGGGCGCAAGGACTGTCAGACTTGATTTGTTCCGGCTCAGACTGGAACTCTACATTTATTTCTCTTTTAAATCTGATTGTGCGCCTGCACCTGCATAACTAACTCAGAATTTGTCCACAGAGAGCAAAATTAGCACTTTTGTTTGTGGGGAATTGTTGTTTTATGTGGACACATGGGACTTTAGATTAGAATTTGTGAAACTTTAAAAAAGCATATAAAAGTGTATCCTCAAAGCAGATTGGCACTATATAAGTAATAGAATGCTACAGAAAAGTGCCTTGTAGCTAAGTCCCAACATGCTGGAGATAAGCATGTTCTTAAGAATTGAGGCATTGCCAGAAAACTACCAGCATAATCTATTTTTAAGTGTATTTGTATTCAATAATTCAGTAACATGTAACAGCTCCAATAGAATAAAAGTCAGAAAGTAAGACTCATGTACTCACCACCTGGAAAGAATTACTGTGTATTGTTTATTCTTTTCTGATGGCCATGGTATGTTGTCATCTTCTGTAACCACATACTCGTATCGATGCTGCTGCTTGATTACTTTCTTTGGGGATTACGTTTTTGAGACAAGGTTTCTTGGAGCTCAGGCTAGCCTCAAACTTGCTCTGCAGCAGAAAATGGCCGGTACTTCTGATTCTCCCTCAAAGCATGCTGGGCAAGTGACCGTGGCGTGTTACACCTTTCCCCCAAGTGAGGGCATGTGGTTCTAGCTCTTCTGTTTCTGCTGGCAGCAGTCTTCCAGTCAGTAAGGGCAAGTAGTATTCAACAACACCCTAAAGACAGACATTTGTGTGAAGTGTTGTGTAGTGTGACAGTGGAGATTCAGTATATTCTGACTTTGGGAAAGGCTGAGGGCTTCCCAACTGACTATGCCTTTCATTTCCAAGACAGGCATCCGGAGAGTCCATAGATAGCCCAGCTAAAGGGACAGCAGGATCCTGGTTTCCCCTTCCCAGGATATTTGGTGCCCACTATATCTCCCTTGACCTGAGTTAAGTTCAAGGATTAATGTCGTCACACAGTATCTATTAGACCTTTCACTGGAGCCAAGATAAACTATTGAGGTGTAGTCATCCTTCGTTTGAGAACCTGCACTTGAGATTGACTTTCTGAGATGCACACAGGCCCCACACTTAATGCCTAGTTCCCAGATAGCAGCAATGGCATTTCCTGCAGACTTTCTTCTCTTCCTGTTGCTGTTGTGTTTAGTGATGTGCCAACATTTCCTAGCCCATACCTCACATTGTTAATAACATGTTATGCAGAAGTATTATGATTTAAATAAATTAATACAAGCCTAAAGTCTTAGCTAACAGGAAACGTTGGAGGCTTGTGTCTGTCCACAAAGGCCAGTGTAAAAGACTACCACAACCTGGGTGGCTGTCCCTAAGTGAGATTTATTTCTCATTATCCAGGAATGAAAAGTCTCTCTTCAATTCAGTGCCTGGTGAGGAAAGGATCAAATTTCTGCTGTGTTCCCACACAGTTGGAAGGGTGAGAAAGCTGAGTTCCCATTTGAAAGGGCACAAACTCCATTCATGGGAGCATCTCTCTCGTGATCTGTTTACCTCTCAAAGGCCTGTCTCTGAGTAGTATCTCAGTGGAGAGAGGGTTACCGAACATGAATGTTGAGGAGGCACAAACCATCTACAATGTTACAGAAATGAAATTATACACTATATAGCCTTTGAAAATTGGCTTTTATCCCGCATTTGTCATAATTTTCTGGAGATTTATGGAGACTGTATCCTTCTCATTGCTATCTAATATTCTGTAATATGCATCTTCAACAATTTAAACCATCATCTGCTGATAGATATCTCGATTGTTTCAGGTTGGGATATTACATAGGGGTGTTCTATATGTTTATGAAAAGGTTTTGGTGTAGACAGAATATTTATTTGGGGATAAATTTTGGATTATGTGTAGTTGTATGATCAGTTGATTTTGTGTTGTATTGTTTTAGAAACTGCCAAGTATTTGGCAAGTTGTTGGTACCACTATGCACTGCCCTCCGCAGCATAGAAATGACCGTGGTTCTCCACATTCCAGCCTGCACTTGATAGTGTCATTACTGAAAATATTAGACATTTTTGTAAATTATGTAGTGCTCTTTCATCCTAAGTTAGAATTTCGTATCCTTTGAAGCTACAGATTTAGACACCCTTTCATTTGCTCACTTGCCGTTTGTAGGCTCTTCTCAAAGGCTGTGCTCATTGCCATAGCATTAAGAGAGACCACAAGTCATAGTGCCAGACTCCAGCAATTACAGGGCCTCATGCAGAAAACATTCATGGGTTCAGCTTAGGCTTGTTGCGATTTTGCTTTAGTAATAAATACTGTGTATTTATGCGATTTGCATAGTTATCTTAGCAGAGCCTTGTGTGGAACAAAAATATTTAGTTTTGATGAAGTCCAAAGTATCACTGCTCTTTTGTGGCCTGGGCTCTTGGTATGCGTTGTACAAACAAGGTTCTCCGTCAGGTTTGTAATGGTCTTTATTTTTATATCTTGCGTGTCAGTTTTGGATCTGTTGCTTTTGGTGAATGTGACAGAGTTAGGCCAGTGGTTTTTGGTTTTGCCCATGGATGTCCACTTGTACCTCTTTGGAAAATATGCGGGGTTTTTTTTTCTTTTTCCCTTTATTGTATTGCTTTTGTGTGTTTGTCAAAAATTAGCTGGCTGTATTTCTGTAAGTCTCCTGCCACTACTACTTAATTGCTGTAGCAGCATAGTAAGTTTTAAAATTATGGACACTGGTTTTTCTCACTTTATTCTTCCTTTTCAGTGCAGTTTATCCTCTTCTTGTTCTTTATCATATACTTTTTAAAGCAATCTTGTCTTAATTGAAAAAAAAAAATCCCTTACTGAGTTTTCAATAGAAATTGTGTTAAATTGCTATGTTAGCTTGGGGTGATTCAGTGTTTGCTACGTTAAACCTCAGTGTCTATGAAGACAATACCGTCTTAGCTCTGCCTTGATTCCTGTTTTCACAGTTCCATAGTGCTCAAAATAGAGGCCCAGGATATTTATTTATATAGGTTTTAGATTAATACCTAATGTTTTCTCCTTTTTTCAGTAGCAGTTATTACTAGGATTGACTTTTAGTTTCAGACATCCAATGTGCTTGCTTGGTAGATGTCTTCAAAGTCCTGTGGCCCTGAGACTCCCTTATCTGTGCTTGCTGGCAGGTCCTGCGGCATCCAGTCTCACAGTTTGCTTGCTTATGTCTCAGTTCCCTAACAAAGCTGCTTTCTTCCTTTTCTTTTGTTTTTCTTGCCTTCTTTTTTTCCCATGAATTTATTTATTCACTTTACATCCTGATCTCAGCTCCCTCTCCTCCCAATGCTCCCCATTACCCCCTCCCCCCCGTTTTCCCCTCTTCTTCTCCTCAGGGTAGGGGGGTCTCTTTTATAGGTACCAACCTGCTGTGGCACATTAAGTTGCTGCAGGACCAGGCGCATCTTCTCCCACTGAAGCCAGACAGGGTAGCCCCGTTAGGGGAACGGGATCCAAAGGCAACTGTTTTCTGTATATGTAAAGTTTTATTTGAACGTAGTGGAGCGGTAAGCAAAAAGTGTCCACTCCGTATTCTCAAAAGCTGAAGCTAGAGGCTTAGAGAAACCTTCAAGTTTACTTGAGGTGCTATTCAATGTACATGTACATACACACATAGTGATATAAAGCAGGCGTTTTTGTCTGGCTCATGTGTCATTGTGTCACATGTTGTTTTGGAGAAGAATAGGGCATGAGGCAGCATGTCTCATGAGATCCATGGTCACTGTCATCAGTACCAGTTACTTCTCTGTAGAAAACATAAAATTTGATGGTCTCATATAATCTCATATAAACTCTCTGTGGCGGTTATGAATATTTACACATTGGTATTCAACTCAGACTTAAAGGTTGAGTTACAGCAAGTATGAGGGTGGGGATGGGAAGAGAGAGGGTGGTCAACTAGAATAATGAAACTTAAGACATTTTGAATACAGAGGATCTCACAAGAACACTGTGTTGAGATTCTTTGTAGAACTCAAAGGAAGGTTCTTTTGAATTTCATTTCTCTGAGCTTCCCTCAGGACAAGTGTTTATGGAGTCCGAGTGTTTATGGAGTCCATCAAATTTCTCTGTAACAATCCCTAAAATACGTCAGCATCCTAGGTCACAAAGATGGTTTTATAACACTGTATCTTTGTGTGGACTATGCATCATTTTCCTGGGGATTTTTTTTTTAAGAAAGATATTTTTGCAAAGCAGGAGCTATTGAAGAGAGCAGCTGGTCTTCACAAACTGAAGTGTGATGGAATACACAGCACGTCAGTGTTTCAAAAGATGGAGAGTGAGGCTCTTGACTGACTTATTCTGAAGAATTAAAATGTACTGCTTCTAAGAATATCATTGAGTGTCGCACTAGACTAACTTTGCATTGGATGAATAAGTGTTAGAAGTGAGGAATGTCAAGAGGGCTTGGGTGAGAGCCCTTGCCCTGCAAGCATGAAGACCTGAGTTCAAATCTCTGTGGCTGAGTAAAAAGGCCAGGCATGGCCACATGCTTGCCTGTAGTCTCTGTGTTATGGGGGTTGAGGACAGAGGACTGCTAGAATTTACTGGCTCCTAGCCTAGTTCCATATTCAGCTAGACCCCCTGCTTAAGGAAGTAAGTCAGAACATGTCCATGCGCGCACACACACTCACATACGCACATGCCACATGCATGCACAAAAAGCAAACCGTTATATTACTGAACCTAAAATTTCAAAAATCTACCTTCATCATTTTTATTTTGTTCCTACCAAATTTCTCTAAACATCGCTCAGTCCTTCTAGAGAAACCCTTAGAAGGTAAATTTCATGGTTTCTCTGAGAGCCGAATGTAGTCAAAGTTTTGTCATCTTGAGAAGGAAAGGATAGAGTTCAGTACTTCCTTAGCTTCCAGTGTCCGGCCATTTCTCACCCAGTCACTCTGGGAGACGATGGTTTTGGGCACCCTGAAAGCCAGGAGGAGCCCTGTTGGTATATGGTTGGAATCTCACCGACCAACTGACGGTCTCCGTCTACAGAACAAACAGCTTGAAATGGGGCTGTGTCTGTGCCAGTCCTCACACTGGCAGCATCAACAGATGGGTCCTTCATGGGAATTAGGAAATATGCTGGGCTTGGGATTTGTGCAAATGTCCTCATGTGTGAGTATGTAACATACAACCAAGCCTCATTACCTACCCTGATATTTTGTTTTTAATTCATAAATTCAATAAAAGTTTGAAAAGGAGTTTCATATTCTTCCATTAGAGCTTTTAAAGTTTTCATTATATGAATAAAACTACTTTAGGGGTACCTGGGTATCTAAAATATCATGTCTTAGTACATAACTTTAAAAATGAAGGCTCGTACTAAAAAACTTTTAGAAAAGGTGGTATTTTGATTTTTCAAATTACTTTCAAGCCTATTATTGATTATTTGTGTGCATGTTTATGCCTTTTAAAACTTAATCAAGACATTTCTACCATTCCTGTAGGATTTCTATAAATTGAGACAATGTCTCAAGTGCAATTTGACAGTACTAATCAAAATCTTAAATAGTCCATGCAAGACCAATACATTTTACTTTTGCAGGGGATAAAACAGATGAGCAAAATACGTATACAAAAGTAATGATTCGGGCAGTATTTCAGCTATGAAAATTGACGTCCTTATAAATAGCTGCACACATATGTTTAAGTAAATACTAACATATAAATGTTGTATCGTCATGTTGGAAAGAGAAGATCTTAGAAATGGATCCAAGAAGGTCTTAGAAATGGTTGGCGTATTAAAGCAGGGCCAGGGCTGTAGCTTAGTTGGTAAAGTGTGTGCCAAGAACTGAAGCCCTGGGTTCAGTTCCCAGCAGAGCTTAAACTGGCCATGGCACCACATGCCTCTAATCTCAGCACTCAGGAAGTAGAGGCAGGAGGACCACAAGCTCTAGGACATCCTTGGTTACATAGTGAGTTCTAGATCTGGTCTCAAAATAAAAATAATTTCAGAAACAAAAACAAGGCCCTCTAACGTGTGGGATGTGATTCCACTGAAATGGGTCCATTACTGCAGTGCTTGCATATACAAATGAGATAGGCAGCCAAACTTGGGCAGAGTGCAGGGAAGAGTGGGGGTATAGAAGGACCCAGAAGGGACAGGAACTCCACAAGAAGACCAGCAGAGGCAACAAACTTGGGCCCTTGGGTTCCTGCAGAGACTGATGCACCAACTAAGGACTATGCATGGAGAGGACCTAGGCCCCCTGCTCAGATGTAATGGATAGTAAGGGAAGCAGGGGCAGTCTCTCACAAAAACTCTGTTGGCCACTCTTCTGTCACTTCCCCCGGGCAGGGTGGCCTTACCAGGCCACAGAGGAAGAGGATGCAGGCAGTCCTGAAGAAACTTGATAGCCTGGAGTCAGGTGGTTTTCTTGCTGCATGCATTTATTGAAATTGTTTAGAAAAAGACGCTCAGTGCATAAATGACCAGGGGATGACTGTTTTCCATCCCACTGGCCTCTGGCCCACTAATGGTATTGGCAAGTGATGCCGCATCCTCCCAGGGGAAGGAGTACCTTGTCCTGACTACTGTAGAGGCTCAGGGCCCACAGTACCATTTCGCTAGTTGGAGTCAAGGCATCAGGATATGAGGGGCTATGCTGCAGGAGGCTGCATTCAGTTTCCACTTCCTATGCTTTGTGTTTTTAAAAATCATTATTATTATTATTTTTATTATTGCTGATGTTTGAGCCAAAGGTCATATACCTGCTAAGCATGCAGCAGGTCCTCTCTAACTGACCTGCATCATAAAACTTGCTTTTTTTGGGTGGGGAGTACTGAGGATTGAACCCTGCATGCCAGGTTGAGCCTTTGAGCACCATGCCTTTATTCATTAAGTCATTCGTTCATTTATTTATTCATTCATTCATTTATTTTAAACTTTTGCTTTTTAGTCATGGTCACAGTTAGCTGCTCAGGCGATCCTCAAACTCAGTCTACAGCCCAATCAGACCATATCTCGGTATCCTCCTGCTTCAGGCTCCTGAGTAGCTCCAGTTACAGTCCTGTGCCATCAGGCTTAGTGTCTGCAGTATTTTAAATGACCAAATGTTATGTTTATAAATGGAGAGTATAAAATACAGCCGTCCAAGGCTCAAAATAGAAAAATACATGCAATATCATTGTATTAAAAAAAAATTCTCTTGTTTGAAAGTCAAATCGGATTTTCTACCAGTGACATTTGAGAAAATGTGTGTGTGTGTAATATTACCTTCACTTTACAAAGAGCTTTTCTGTCAAAAACAATGAATGCTGTTCATGTGCATTAGTTCATACATTATGTTAGCAAATGAGATTGCTTTAGATAATCTTAATTTGGAAAATGGCTAGACACTGAGTAAGACTGTATATACAGCTTCAGTTAAACACAAACACACACACAGAGTTAATGTATCAAATTAAAACAGCTGCTTCCCTGGAGTTTTTCTCAAATGACACAGATTCCCAAAAAAGAAAAAAACTAAGATGAGAGTGGGAAGGTTCTTGAGGCCAACCAGATCCCATCACTTGAGCCCTTTAACGAGGTCAACTAAGGAGGTGACAGTAGGCCTGTGTACCTGAATAGAAGCCCAGGTCTCTGGATACCAACTCACTGCATGTCAGGAGCCTGGAAATAAGTGTATTTTTTGGTTTCTGTAGCAAGTGGATTTCAAAGCTCAGACCTGCTTGACACCAAGGTAACTGGACTTTTCATTCCTGTGGTAGGTGATGGTTGCTGAAGCCCTGGATATTTCTAGAGAAACTTACTTGGCCATTTTGATGGACCGGTCCTACAATGGTCCCGTGATAGTGGGCAGTCCCCAGGGAGGCGTTGATATCGAAGAAGTGGCGGCTTCTAACCCAGAACTCATCTTTAAGGTATGTTGATTAGCCAGCAATGTTAACTGGTTGTTAGGGTCATAACTGCTCAACATTTACTGTGGAGTCTGAGGCAGGGAGTCTGCTGCTGAGATGTGAAGTGAAGATGATGAACTCTAACTAGGAAGCTGTTTGGAAGTCAGGCAGAATTGAAGTGTTCAGTATTTAAAGGTTTTTTCTTCTTTCCTTTCTTCTCTCCTCCTTCTCCTTTCCTCCCTGCTTTTTTCTCTCCCTACATTATTTCTTTCTAAATGATCTGACAGAAGAATTAACCTGCAGGAGAACACTGCTATGTCTTCATTTCTGCTGGGTTGACTCCCTGCCTTGAATAGTGCATATAGTCCAGACACTTTCTTTCACATTCTTGGATGTCAGTCAGTTTGTGTTATTAGTTCCTTTTCTTGCTGTGACAAACTCTTGTCAGAGTAACTTAAGGCATGGTTTATCGTGGCACACTCCGTTATGGTTGGGAAGGCATGACAGTGGGAATGTGAGGCGTCTGGTCACATGGCATCCAGTCAGGAAGCAGAGGGATGGATGCTGGTGCTCAGCTCACTTCCTCCTTTTGACTGGTCTAAGACCCAGGCTTGTGGAGTGATACCCGAATTCAGGGTGTATTGTTGCCCCTCAGTGTACCTAGCCTAGTCACTCCCTCGCAAGCATACCCAGAGACTATCTCTTTCCTGATCTAGACCCCACCAAGTTGATAGTCAGACTTCACAGACTATCCAGAGATAAACAGGCATTCAAAGCTTCATATTCTGATTCATTGTTTCAGTCCTTGGACTCTTCATTCTAAGGTTGGTTTCAGAAAGATCTATAGTCTTATCTGAGTAGGTAGTCTGTCATAAGCCTTAAGCCTCAGTTTTAAAATAAGTAATGAAAATGTAATGGTTTCTGCCCTGTAGCATTATGATGAATAAATGGATTAATATGAAAAAAAATGCTCAGGTACCATTCTTATCTGCAGAGGGGGAAAAAACATTTAAAACAATGAACCCAGTTTTTAATCTGGGTTCTTAATGTCCAATTCCATTAAATTTTTCTACAAGAAACATTATTTCCTTTAGAAACTGTTTTGTTTTCCCTTAAGTAGGGGAAGAATCCTATTTTCTGAATTTGTTTTTCTATATACTGTGTCCGCACATCAGTGATTGTTTTAAAAATATGTAGATTAACTGCTTTGGGAGTTTAATTGAAGCTGTATACACAGGTTTACTCAGTGTCTAGCCATTTTCCAAATTAAGATTATCTAAAGCAATCTCATTTGCTAACATAATGTATGAACCAATGCACATGAATAGCATTCATTGTTTTTGACAGAAAACCTCTTTGTAGAGTGAAGGTATTATTAATAATTTTCATATGAATTAAAGTGCTCAAGTCTTAAGATAATATTTAACCTGTGTATGACAACTCCAAACTTTAACAGCAATATTAGGCAGCAGAGCCTTTCTTTGGATTCCTTCCAAAAGTTGCCACAAAAATTAACTGACTAAATATTCATCAATGCCATCTGTGTAGTAATTAAAAGTGAAAACTGGCATCAGATTGTCTTGTCAGCATGCCACCTTGAAGAATTATATAGTTTTTGGAAGGGCTGCTTTACGATGGCCTGCTAATTAAAACGTACCCCATAGGCAGCCGCAGTATCCCAGCTCAGAGCTCTGTGGAAAGGTGCCACACTTTAATTACTCATTTGCCAGTAAATACTAAACGTTTGCTTTGAGGTTTAAATCTTCTCACTGGACTTCTGAATTTTGTTCATTTTCATTAGGAGCAGATTGACATCTTTGAAGGCATAAAGGATAGCCAGGCCCAGCGCATGGCGGAAAACCTGGGCTTCCGTGGGCCTTTGAAAAACCAGGTACATAGCCTTTGGGAGACAGCATGGCTGCCTTGCTTTAGAAAATATTGCAGGATCTTGCTTAATTTGCCGCTGATGTTTGTGACTGACAGAAAATGAGGTGGTTGTGTCTGAACCTTTCCCTAAATTGCTTATGATCAAGAAAATATTTCCTGCTGTTTTGAGAGGTGATGTTTATGATGTATGTATATGTATCTGATAGAGATGGGTATATATGCATATATATGGTATATGTGTATATGTGTATACACACATATATATGTGTATATGTGTATGTATGTGGTAGGGGTGTGTAGTATGCATGTACACATGATAGAGATGTGTGTCTATGTGATAGTTGTATACATATATTTTATATATATATATGATAACATGTGCCTGTAGTTTTACGATTTGTGTGAATGAGAATGTGCATATAAATGTATGTGTGTATGCATATATATGTATGTGAGAGATATGTTTGTATAACATAAAGATGAAGGAATGTATATGTGTATGTTTTGCATACTACAGGTTTATAATGTTTGTGTTTACACCTATAAATGTATATGTAGATGACTGTGTATGTGTATGAAAATATATGATACAGGTGTGTCCTGCACATTTATGATATGTATGTAAACAGATAAACATGTATGTGATACAGGTTTGGATGTTTGCTACATGTAGGTGTATAAACTTCATGCTGTTTGGTGATATGCTGTTACTGTGGTTTTGAGACAGGGTCTTGTGTGTCTCAAGCTGGTCTTGAACTTTTGAACTGCTTAGTCCCACCTTCTGAGCCCTGGGATTACAGGCATGTGCTCCCACACCTGGTAGAGGTGATGGTGTGGACTAACTCAGGGCTTGGTGCATGCTAGGCAAGCTTTCTGCTTACCAAACCACGGCCCCAGCCCTTTAATAGACTGATTTTTAAAATCTTCTGATACTGCCGCTGGTGCTGTTTGGTATGTACATATTCATTCTGTTAAGAACTTATTTCCAGAATCTGTATAATGGGGATAATGACTGCTGACTGAGAGCTATATTGTAGGAAGTTAGTACAATGCTGTATGAGAGCAGTTGTTCCCAGGACTCCATTAAAGATGAGTTCCGTTGCTGGGGTGGTAGCCCAGTGGTAGAGTGCTTGTGTTGCACATGCAAGACCCTGGATTTACTCCTAAGCCCACAAGCAAGACTATCATTGTGTTTATTAGCAGTACATGTTACATGACCAATTGCTATCCTTTTGTAGCCAATGGACATTCGAAATGAATATTGATAGTATGAAGCCAATATTTTACTCAGAACAACTGAAAACATATTAATTTAATAGTCATACCTTTTGGCTTTGAGGACAAAAGAAAAATAGTAGTCCAAGGTTTTCGGGGTAGAATCTGTCATGAATGCCGTGGCTCTGCCTTTGGCCTAACCCCTTGCTCTTAATGATGTGTGGAAACAAGCAAGCTTCATCCCACAGCAAAGTCAGAAGAACTTACTGCTTGCCTTCCAGCCAGTCCTTTCCCTCTTTTTAACCCCAAGAGGCTCCCTTAGTAACTCTGTGTGTAAGTTCACTGACCTGGGGCTGCCCAGTGGTCCCTCAGTACATTCTTCCACAGTACCCAGGAAGGATTGTCTTCAGTATCCCTGAGGATACAGAAACCTAATTCATCCTAAGATTCCTTCTAGACAATGACATACTGTTTGCTTATAACTGACACATTCTCACTCAGGCACTTTATACTCCTTACAGGGTAGTGCTCTGTGAACAGTTGCTTGGGAAATAATGACGAGGACATAAGATCTAGGTATTTAGGGGAGATGCACTCTTCATTTAGAATATTTTCTTCAGCATTTCATTTGTTTGTATGTACGTATGTGTGTGTAAGAATGCATGTGCCATGGTGAGCATGGTCAAGAGAACAACTTGCTCGAGTCATTTCTCTGTTTCCACTGTGTGGATTCTGGACACTGAACTCGAGTCATCAAGTGTGGAAGCAAGAATCTTTGCCACTGTGTCATCTCACCAGCCCTACAATATTTTCTGTCTGTGGTTAGTTAAACCCTCGTCATGAGACCTGTAGATAGAGAGAGCTCTCCTCTTTAGCTAAGTTGAACGTTCCTGTTCCAATGAAACAGTGATTTTGGCATTGTTTTATTTCTGCCTTTACCCTTTAAATTTTAATTCTATCTCTAGAAGTGTAATAGTGACAGTAGGCAAGTCAAAGAAGGAGAAATACTTTTGAACAAGACTTTAAACACGTTTGAACAAGACTTCAAAAGTATTTAAAGGAGGGAAGGCAGCACTCATTTGAAAATGGGAGTAAAGACTATTGAAAAGTAAAGTAGTCAAGGTGGTAGATGAGGACAGGACCTCCTGGACTAAATCCCAGGAAGAGACAAAACAACCAGCATTCAACAGACAGCTAGAGAAACTAGTTGTCCTCTTTGACATTGGCAGAGAGGTGCCGTGCAGGCAGTTTGTTCAAAGGAAGGTGCTGGATGATTCTTGGGCTCTGTGCTCTAGTGGTTGGTTTTGTGTTATTAGAATGACAGTGGTAACCCCATTTGTCATGTTAAAAGATACATGTATAGGCTACTGATATAGAGAGGGAGTAACACAAACATGGCTGAAAGGCGAATATTAAAGTGAAACCATTTGCAGTTTTTATGAGATAAAGAATAAATTTTGTTCACATGAAAACACTTCCTTTAAATTAATGAATACAAAATCCAAATCTCAACAGGAAAATTTACAAAATCCACAGAAAAGGAAATACAAATGTCTCCTACTAGCTAGAATGATGCTCAAACTCATTCAGAATATGAGTTTTTATTAAAACTACATACCACTCACCGTGCCCCCCATAACGCACCTGTTAGGCGTGTGAGTGGACAGTCTTCCTGTACTGGCCTGTGGGTGTTCAGGGTCATTTCTTCCTGAGCAGCTTAACAGAATCACTCCTATTTAAGATGCTTTCATGGCTGTGGGGAGAGCGAGGGGCACTGAGTTCAGTCCTGAGATGCCATGATGGAGAAAGCAGCTGAGCATTGTTTCATGCACTGTCCTAGTGCTGAGGAGAAAGGTGGATCATGGGGCTCGCTGACCTCACAGCCAAGATAACTTGGTGAGTTTCAGGACACTGAGAGATCCTGTCTCAACCTCCAGCCCCAAATGGACCGTTCGGAGGAACAATGCCCCAGGCCTCCACCTCCCATTCATATCTATATATTATATATCACCTCATTCATAGACACACACATGTGCATACAGCCACAAACATGCAAACATGTGCACATAACCATTCACACATACATATATAAATAGTGATTAAAATGTTCCTATCCATTCTGCACTGCTGTGGGGATTTACCCCATAAATACCTAGTCACGTGTATTACATAGCTACAGAAACAAGAAAAGTGACACTTTAGGTAAATGAAGCTATTAGAAACAATCCATATGGTCATTATTTAAGTGCTGAGTGTAATGAATGGTGGTACAGCACACAGTAAAATATGATCCGACAATTAAAAGATGGCCTATTTATCCTGCCAGTGAAGGTTGCTATTAATAGGCTAGAGGCATTTGTTGTTCTGTGAAGATGGGAAGTGTGCATCTTAGCATGCACACGGAATGTATCTTCGACGAAGCAGAAGCTGCCGGTGTCTGCTTCAGACGACCTGCAAGTTGTGGTTGGGGAATAGAATCATGAGAAATCCTGACTTAGGGGCAGCCTTACAGCATTTACACGTGTTACCTACCCATAAAGCATTTCATAGTAAAAAGATTTTGTCTTGGTCTAGTGTAATAGCCAGTGCTGGCAGTCCTGCTGCCCGGTGTGTATGAAGCAGAAAGGTCATGAGTTTGAGGCCAGTCCAGGCTGCACAGCCGGTTCAGACTTAGAACCATCCTGGAACCCTACCTCAGAAAAACATTCTTTATCCTTATATTTTGGATGCATTTATTTATTTACATACATCAGATTTCAACCAGGATTTAAGATAATCTACATAAAGACCTGAAATAGTTATTGATGAGACAGTATGAGATTTATAGAAATGCTTTAGTCAAACCTGGGCCAGCTTTCAGTATTGACCTTAGTATGAAGTTATACTTAGGGATTTCATTTCTAGGTATTGTGAGAACTGGGAGAATTAAGACTGAAGGAGTAAAACGGTCCTAGCTTCTCCTTTTTTATCTGCCCCATTGCCCCCTTCACCTTTTCCCCTAACCAGACAGAGCTGCAAGCCAGCTGGCCCAGCCAGCTTCAAAGGAAACTAGCCCTAAAGCCATCAGATGCTCTGTTATGCAAAAAAGGGGTAGGGCCACACTGGCTCTGATGGCACACACCGCAGGGCTGGCATGGTAGGCATCAGGTGGCAGTAAGGAAGTAAAACAAGGCCAAGAATGTGTCCCACCCTGTAGGCAACCGTAGTTGCACAGGCTTACCCTACTTGTTGTAAGGTGTAGTCCACTGGAGTTTTGATAACCTCCACATGTGCTGTTCCGTGTTCCACCACCTGCTGTACACAGCCTGCCCTGATGTGAGCAGTGAGTGTGTGTTGTCTGAGAAGGATGGATGGATTTCATGTTCAAATGTTCTCTGTGGTCTTTGCCTCTAGGACTCACTGTGTTCAGTGGGAGCTGCAGGGTTTGGTAGCTACTCTGCTATTTGAGACTTTCATCTTTCTGTCTCACCATTTCTATCAAACAACTTAGGAATTTCTTTGCAGATTATAGGCTTGGATTGATGAATGTAATAGCCATTTTATTTCAGCATAATAAGGAAAAACCTTGACATTATAAACTCTCAAAAGCCTGTTTACCTTTTTACTTAAATGGAGCCTGTTTGTATTAGTAATTGTAGCTTATATTGCAGCCTAACATGACTAATAGTGACATGATAATTCACAAAAGGATTAATAACCCTTTTAGGCTGCACAGAAAATATTTTTGTTTTCTTGATAATGGTCTCCTCTGTGTCTGGAGGAAAGTTATGCAGTCTCTTTTAATGAATAGCAGTGGAAGTTAAAATAATTATGGTTTTCAATTTTTCCCTTCAGAAAACCTAACTGAAAATAAAGACATAATTTGCTATTTTTAAGATTTTGTTAATGGCGCAAAATAAACTTTCTTGTATTGTTTGGGTATAATTCCATCTCACTTGATCACTCAGGCTGCAGATCAGATTAAAAAGCTGTACCATCTCTTCCTGAAGATTGATGCCACTCAGGTGGAAGTGAATCCCTTCGGTGAAACTCCGGAAGGACAAGGTAAAAAACAACAGAAAGGAAGAAATACAAATAAACTTTCGTAATTATGCTTATAAACTGTAAATTAACTTGCAAAAAAAAATCTGCAACAGCAGCAGTAGCTTTGCCTTCATTTCTTTCAGTCACTTAATTTCTGCTCATTTCAAATGCTCCCATGATGCTGTTCAGCATTTTAGTATTTGGGTTTGCTATAGGCAAATGCCAAGACTCCCAAAGAGCTACTTCCTCTTGACCTTAACTGCCTTCAGTCCTTTCGTGCAGACAAGAGAGCCCTCAGTTTTCTGCAGTTGCTGCCAACAGAAGGATCTGAGTGTGAGCATGTATCATTCTACTTGGGTTTAATAACTGCATCCGCTCTTTCTCTGAACTTGATGTCCTTCAGTTTGCAAACTCTGTGCACAGTTTCACCTTGTGTCCACCGTGTTGGAGAAGCCCCTATTACTTTGCAGTTAACACATTTGCCTTCTTCATTTTAGGTAAGGAGGTTTGGGGAGGATGCTTCTTTTCTAGCAATACGTGCGCCACTGCTGGATGCCTTGGCAAATGCCACCACAGCGGCAGGTCTTGAATACAGATACATTTACAGCAAGAGCTTGGAACTTCTTGGAGCAGTTTGAGGAGCAGTATGGCAGATAGAATAGGTCAAGCCAGAATATTAAGTGCCACAAACTTTGACTTTTTCCACACATTGTGAACACTGGCTCACCAGGGCTTTGCCAATGAATAGGTAGAAGGGGCTGACTATGTGTGTTCAGACACCACTGTGGAGACCAGGGTCTTTTGTTGTTGTTGTTGCTGCTTTAGTAGTAGAGATTTTGTAGTCAAATTAAAAAAACCGAAGGGACCTCAGGACAAATTCAGATTCTCATCTGTCATATTCTGGCTACAGATCTACATACTTCCCTGCCTAAGCTTCAGATTTTTTTTCTAAATCACTTTTTTTATTATTAACCAAATTGGTAAAAATGATACCTGTATTGTAGACTGAGCTGCATCCAGAGTGAGACACAAAATGGGCCCTCCCCTCACATTCATGGAAGGACATTGCTCTTCCTAACCAGTACAAGAATTTTCCAGGAAAGTGTCCAACTAATGGCAAGTTTGTGTGGAAGGAAGTTGCTGAAGATGGGATGTTGCATGAATAACCACCAGATTGAATCTGTGTTGGATGACGCATATACGAGTTGTTTCTTGAAACTCCTTTTTTTAATATGTCTGTGTGCCTCAGAGCATGTATGTGCTCCCTGTGCCTGCAGGTGCCCATGGAGGGTAGAAGTGCATGTCCATTGGTCCCTCTGGAACTGGAGTTACAGGTATTTGTGAGCCACCTCATGTGGGTGCTGGGAACCATACCTGGGCCATCTGCACGGGCAGCAAATGTTCTTAATCACTGAGCCTTCTCTCCAGCTTCTTGAAATTAATTTTTTAATTGTGTGGTTGTAAAACCATCAGTATTTAATATAAAGCAGAGGAGGAGTTGTACCTGTTTTTGCACTTATATGTCAGGCACTGTGATAGACTTTTACAAACAGCCCAGCAAAAGTAAGAGCCATTATTCCCATCATTAAGAGGATCAGGCAGTTAGTTATCCATGGACAGCAAGATCTGCAAGACGCCAACCCTACAAGGGTCAAGTCGGTGTACATGGTTGTTGTGCCATGCCAAACTAACTAGATCAAGCTCCCTGTGTAGTTTTTCTGGCTGTTCTTTTTTAAACTAGCCTTTTGCTATTGTTAGAGTGACCTAGAAGTAGTCCCAAGTTTTGAGAACACAAGTCGCATCCTCACTGCACACAGGTCTCAAGAACTGAATGCTGATACTCAAGATGTAAAGTTTAATATGAAAGCTGTCAAATGTAATATATTGAGCCAAATGTGGCTGTGCTGGTCAGTAATCCTAGCCACAGGAGAGTCCTGAGTTCCAGAGCATCAAAACTATGTCTGAGGAAAAGCAGAGAACTGGCAGGATGGACCCATCAGGAAAGTGCTTTCTTTGCAAGCAGGAAGATAGAAGAAATTTGTTCATAGAACTCAGTAAAGAAAAATCATCGCTAAGGCTCACTGGGCTACTTGGTGAGTTCCACGGTAGTCAGAGACTCGGGCTCAAAAATTAAGTGGATGATACCTAAGGAATGAAGCCTAGGTTGTCTGACCTCTACATGCATATGTGATCATGTGCATGCATATAGGCATACTTAAAAAGGATCAAGAGAGTAGGAGGAGACAGCTTCCTCTGGAGTAGGCTGACAGGTTGCTGTAGTACCATTTTCTTCATTGTAGGGGCGGGGACTGCACAGGGAGCTTTGTTTGAAAGGTTTTCACAAACTTTACAAAGGTTAAAGTCTGCTTTTTACTGAATAAGAGAGCAGGAAAAATTCTTGAATATTTTAAAGGAATCATCACAAAATACATTCTGTATATACAGTTCATTAAAGCACAAGTCTTAAATGGTATTTTTAAGACCAAAATTATCTTTAGCTATTAATTTGTTCATTGTACCATAAAAGTATGGCTGTTGAATTATAACCACAATTAAATGAGAGTGTTGGTTTATAACTCTAATGAGCAGTAGTCACATTAAACCCAATTAGGAAATGGTGATTAATGAGCAGTTGTGTATGTTGGGTCTCCGACATTGTCACCGTCCCCCAATGCCGTCCCCCAATGCCATCCCCCAATGCCGTCCCCTATTTAGGAGCTATAAATGCAGTCATTTAGATCTTAGCAATGTTGATAATATTTATACTCTAACTGCTGAAGTCATTTTCATTTAGGTGACTAACAGAACATTTCATAGAAAAACATTGATTTAACTATTGTTCTTATAATTTGGAGGCATAAGAGCTCCAGAAGTTAAGTATCACATAAATATTTTGTCTTCAAAGCTCACCATTGTGCCATCTCTCTGTAGACTGTCCCCTGGCTCCTATTGCTTACTGAGGAACATTGTTTTTTGTTTTTTTTAAATGTACTTTATTGTTCATCTACCTCCATGTCCTGTTAGTGAAAAGCGGTGACCAGTGACATCATAACATCAAAGCTGCTGAGTCACCCATAGAAAAGTCATGAAAGAATTGCAATCCAAGAAGGATTCCTTCTAATTTGCTTAACAGCCTTATTCAGAGGGTAATTTGATACCGAATTTTATTGTGGTTTAATGATTAGGATTATAATGACAGCTAGAGACCTATGAAAACCTGTTAACCTTGCCTTAATTTTTGTTTACCAGCTTATTTCTTTTACACGCTTAACAGGGGAATACAAGGTGTGGCTTGCCTTGTGGTGCGTAAAGAATGAGGCTTCTCTCTTCTCGTCTGTGAGGCCCAATCCACCCCCTGAGCTGAAAGGAATCAAACAGCCTTGCTTTCTCTGAAGTGTTCTAACTCAGCCATGCTGTCTGTGCCAGCAGCGAAAATGGTGCTCATTGTTTACGACTCCAGCAGCCTGAGCAAGCCCTTCATCTGGTTCTTATTAGGCTTGACTTGTCACATGTCCAGACTAGGCCAGTGACTGGTCAGTGCTCACATGGTTTAGGAAAAAGGCCATTTCCTTAAGTGCAAACACGTCTACCGGAATGACTGAGCCTTTATTGAAAACAAAACTAAATTGTTGCCTCAGTAATTAAAGAGAAATTAAGTACTTTTTTCCCTGATTCAATTGTAGTAGCAAATTAATTCAGTAAATCTGTAGCCACATGAGAACAAGTTTTTCTTACATATTTATGTAGCTGGCTGCCTGTTTATTTGTTTATTCAGTTTTTTTTTTAATATTGCAAAATTATATTGTTTTGCAAATCCACTCAGGGTTTCTCCATCATGTTTTATTTCTCCTTCCCTCTCCACCATCTATGACCACATTTATCAGCAGTTTGTCACGACTTTGCACTTGTGCCTTTGACACCTGCTTGGTAAATGTGGGGAGCTGCCAGCCATCCTGCAGTACATAGAGTGGCCTCCCCAAGATGCTCGGAGGTTGCGAATTCTGAGATGCCTCCATTCATTGAACGGAAGACCTGAAAGCCACTTAGAACGGTGACTATGAGGCCCAGATTCCTCCACAATTAAGGCTGGGTATTCCAAAGCTGCCTGGCGCATCACATTTCTTTCATCATGCTCACACTAGCCCACATTGGTGGTTGTCCTCCGTTTCTCCATTATGCACAAGGCTCACTTTTCCTGATCATTTTCTATATTTCCCCCAGCCCATCTTGCCTCATACCTATTTTTTTTTTTCTTCATAGCAACTGGAGAAAAGTTCTAAAAAGTGTACAGTTCTTAGCACATCAATATTTAATGGGATGCGGGGCTCCTTTAAAGCGTCAGCGTTTTAAAGCTTGGCAAGGCACATTTGAATAGCCCACTATGGTTATTTATCACAAATCAAACACAGCACATTGCTTCAAGACAGATTATTTTCCAAACTAATTATGACAGTCGCACTTCCTGCTGCTTTTCTGTTCCTTTTATGTGTGTGTCTCCCTTCTGAAATGCATTTTTTTCTTTTGTTTAACTCAGCGGCACATTCTTCTGTTGAAGCTCTGGGGTCAGAGGCCTCTCACTGCCAGTCACATTCTCCATCAAGGTGGCTGAATTAGCAGCTTGCAAAATCTCACACCACTAAAGAAAACAACACAAACACCCTGTGAATATAAGTACCTTAGCTTTCTTTGATATTTGTTCAGAAGGAAAATTCATTTGTATAATCTATCAACCATGTAACAATATGTTTTTGATGGTGAAAATTGTTTTATAAATATTAATAGGTATGCTTTTTCTCCTACTTTGTACACAGATATTTTTTTTTGTTCAAGATGAATTTTCTATAGAATTGAGGTTTCGGTTATGTGACACTGAGATTCTTAATGTCTCAGCTAAGCTCCACACCTCTGAAAATACATTTTATCATAGTTGTTTGTTGTTGAATTAAGTGAGAAAGGTAAGGTTTGAGCAAGCAGGGCCAGTTGATTTTAATGCTTTGATGTTGACATAGACATGAGCCCACCTGTGACATGCCAGCTCTGCATGTACATGGAAGAGTCATGGAGGAGTCCATCAGTGGTTAATTTCTCCTTTTTGTGTAGCTTTTATCTTGTTCTCTGTTTCTGTCTTACTGCTAGTAGGACATACTTAAGGGAAGTACCTTCTTGACTCTTTAAGAATATTGTAGCTGTGGGTGGTTACCAATCTATTGAACTGAAATACAGATGGAGTGAGAGATGTGTCTAAGTAGGGACTGCTATGAAGTGTCAATAAACACAGGGGCATTTGTGAACTCTGCAGTCTGTACTATAGTTACCATCTCTGCTGTTGTCCTCAGAAGAAGCCCCGGACAGTATGTAAAAGTACACACAAAATGTACATACCGAAATAGGTGATGAGCTGGCTTGAGACATAGAATTTGCCACCCCTGAGTCAGAAGCCCATGTGAAACATTTTGTGTCTTTAGCCACTGTGTCCATATGCAAAGGTATTGAATAATTTGAGGGTCATCGAAAACCTCATGTCCCTTAGCTAAAAGTTTCCTTCCCTGACAGTTATGCTGCTGAAACTCTCGCTTTGAGACCGTCCTTATGTATTTCAGATGACAGCTGATCAAGTGCAGCAGGTAGCCTGTGCACTCTTAGACTCTAGTAGCCATCCATTGTGTCTGCCCTAAATAGAAATCTAAGGCTATTAAAGGAATGAGACAGGGTATGGTAATTTCTAGCCATGAGCAGAGGGTTCTATAAACTGCGCTATAACAGCAGGAATCTCTAAGCATGGTGAATTCCATGTTAGTTGGTATTCATAATCCCCCCCAGGAGGCTGGGTGCCATGCATAGCTTGGCACACCACACAGTAACAGAGACTCTGATCATATTTATTGCCAAAGGCTCTGAGCTTAAGAGAAACTATGGCTAGGGCTAGTGGTTTGGGCAATGCAGTCCTATATTTGTATCTTTGAAATTTGTGTGATGGTCTTTTCTCCCACTAGACTCAGCACAGACCACTTCTGTGACCATATCTCTGAAAGTAACTTGGTGTTCTATTATTCAATTCGGTTCTGACACTGTGTGCCTGTAGTGAGCGTCAGAGTCGTATATTAAGTGTCCCGTCTCCTAAGACTAATGCCTTTCATTGATGCCAGTCACAACTCCATTTTTGGTACTTTTGACCAGCCAGCTTACTTGAGTGTTCTCACAACCTGCTCTTCAGTTCTGGCCATTTCTTGCATTCAGGGAAACACCTTCTACTGCTGTCAGATACAAAGGACATTTTAAATTACTTCCAGGAACTTCCAAGGGGTATAGAGCCCTATATCAAGAACAGAGCCAAAGGCCAAGCATTAGCACCAAAGATCTACCCAGTAGTCCTGTTGCTTAGTACATTATAAGAGTTTTAGTGTCTCTGTACTAAGAATTGAAGTTAAAACTGCTATCTTTATAATTTGAGCCCCCTTCACTTTATTCATTTTTCACACTTCTGAGTCACCACCTGTATTGCAAAACCATTTTAAAGCCCTTGGCTCTGGGTATTTTTGAGATATTAGGCATAGTCCCCTAGAAGCAGACTTTTGAAGTTTATATCCGTCTCTGTTTTCTTGCCTCCTCTCTCTGCCTCCTGGTCTACTTCGGTGTGAATAGCCACCGCCACAACTGAGCTAGTCAACCACACCTTGTCACAAGGGTGAACAGAAACCTCCAAGGAAAACACATCCTTCCTTCCTTCCTCGGGTTATTTCCGTCAGATACATCATCATAGTCATAGAAATAACTGAACAGACCAAAGTCTGTGAGGGAGAAGAGGAAGAGGGCAGGGAAAGGGAAGGAAGGAGACTGAGGCTATTATGTTGTACATGCATAAGGCCATACTGCTTTTAACTTAAAATCCTCCTAACTCAGCCTTGTGCGTGTGGAGTTCACAGTGTGTACCAGCAGGCCCAGCCTGAATCAGCCTACTTAAATATGCTTAGCTAACTTCACATCTGTGCAGTACTTTTAGCTTCCCAAAGCTCTGGGATCTGCACACATTGTGCTCTCAGACAGGGAGCAGCTGGCCAAGGGCCACTGTGGGTGTGCCCCTGTTGTCTCACAGCCCTTCTTTTCAAGCACTAGATTACCTGTCTGGCTCCCAAGCTGCTCACCAAACCAAAAGCTCCTGTCTGCCCTTGACATCCTAGCATCAGAGCACTGAAAGAATCTTTGGAAAATCTGGCTATGCAGGCATTTGGTTGGGACTGCCTTCTGAACTTTGCATACATCTCCATTAATTATCCTTTCACTGGAGCAGCTTGCAACTGTATTCTTTGTAATAAGGGTCAAAGTTTAGCTTGGAACTATTTTGATTTACTGGTTTATTGATCTTGACCAAGAATTCTTTTATTTGCAAATCTTCACTTAGAAAGTCAATTTGATAGCCTTTGCCCATTCATTTTGAAGGTGTCATTTACAAGCAATCTTGCCAGTGAGTAATGGAGGAGCTAAAATTACTAATAAATTAATTAGAATGTATTTATAAACCCAGTGGAAAGCCAAGAATGAAGTTGCTTTTCTATTGATCATTATACTGGTCATTAACTGCTGAGAAAGTGCCTTTGCAGGGAGCAGGGAACACGGGCCAATTCCTTTGATAATTACAGGATTCCTTCATTACAACTTCACTATTGTAGAAAGTAATTACTCATTCACTCCATGTATCCATAGTGTGAGCAGTGGTTGGGCAGTTTATGGCAAGACTAGGGCCTTAAGCAGACATCAGCTACCATGTAAGAATTTCTCTTGTCAGTCAGTACTCACTTACATAATTTTGGCCTGTTCATTTTTCTGCCAAGTCTTTCTGAATATTAACATACCAGTTCTGTCAAATCTGCCCCAAGTCATGTGCAAGAGAAGCTGGAAGACATCTTCCCGGTGCCTTTGAGTGCAGAGTGTCATACCGCAGTAATGTTTTCTTTTCCTAGGAAGCAAGTAGAATTCACTGTTCATAGCCATCGTATTTCTGTGAGGTACCGGGAAATGTTGGCTCCCATTTCAGAAGTGAAGTGCTTTTCAGCAAAGCCTGAAGAAACGGCACATCTGTAAATGTTGACTAAAGACATCTGCTTGTTCATGTCTCAGATTCAATTAGAGGATGCTATGATGGCACACTCGCACAGTCAACAAATTTCTGCTGCAAGGGAAATAATAAACACGTTGGAGTCCAGATACCACAGATGGGGCCCTCTTTCCTAAAGCCATCCTCTAAATGTCCTGTTTGCCGTCCTTGTAAGCAAAGATGCTCTGTGGCCCAAGCCTGTCATAGAGTGAGTTTTGCTGTGTGCAGGGCTTTTTGTGTACAACATGGAAAGCTGCCTCTTCTAGAGGATATAGACTACCGTACCGATGATGCCTGGCATCTTGGCATTGACAGACCTGAGAAGTCCTAAAATGGTCCTGCCAAACCAAAGCTGTGTGCTCAGGTTAAGTTAGTCGGTAGACTAGGGATTGCCTCCCTACTCTTCATAGGTGAAGAAATCAAGTACTGCTATGAAGAGGGGTCATCTTGCCAAGGACAAAGTCAATGATGTTTGCTTGAAATGGTTCAAAGAGTGGATTTTAAGTTTTCTCACCCCAAAAGTTAGACAGAAAAGAAGAAAAAATAATCCGAGAGGCAGCTATGTAAATTTGTTTCCTGCAGTTCTCATTTCAAAATACATGTGTATGTCCAAACATCATGCTGTGTACCTTAAATATAGTCAGTTTTAATTAATATTGAGGGGCAGAAGAATTAGGAATCAAATTATATGCATTTCGACTCAGCATTCTCTTTCATTAAATCTAAAGTATTAAGAGTAGTAAGAGGGTACTGATAAATTCATATTTTTCATGGACTGCCAGCAGACAGAGGAGAAAAAAAGAATTGGTGTTATTGCCATGTTTCTTTCTGCATAAAAGAGAAAGGCAACAACTGTAAGTAACGCAGCTAGAACCGTAACTCCAGGGTGCAAGCATGCCAACTTGTAGCTTGAACTGGACGCTAATGACCTTTGTAGTTATATCGTTGAGCAAAGACTGACAGATGAGAAAGACTGTCCTCGTTGCTCGAATGTGAATCTCCTCAGAGTGGGACCTGTCCTGTTTCTCTCTGAAGCCTAAAAGTTGAAAGGTCAAGAAAGCCAACAGTGGCTTTCCTGCTTGTAGTGTGAGAGAATTAGAGTTCCTGCCTTCTTCACTCCTGTTCCTGTGGCCTGAAGAATTCAGTTCCTAGAATCCCAAGAAACTCTCAGGCATGGCCTTCTTTTCTTTTCATTTAGTTGTCTGTTTTGATGCCAAGATAAACTTTGATGACAATGCTGAATTCCGACAAAAAGACATATTTGCTATGGACGACAAATCAGAGAATGAACCCATTGAAAACGAAGCTGCCAGATACGACCTCAAGTATATTGGGCTAGATGGGAACATCGCCTGCTTTGGTAAGTGCTGTTGCTTAGTTTGGAATTTCAAAGGATTCTGAAACACTCTTTACTAATCACCATTAAAATAGGTGTTTTCTTACCATGTCAAGTGGAAACAGTCGGTTTCCTCTCAAAGTCCTGATGGTCACTGATTAAAAGTAGTTTCTCATCTCTGCCACTGCTGAGCTTTTGGATTGGTTAATCCTTTGCTCTTGGAGGGCTGTCCAGGATATTAGGTTCAGTGGTGTCCCTCTCCTCCAGAGACAGCTAATAGTTGTGGAAATGAGACAAATCAGGGAAGAGCCCAGATGTATACAGCTGTCTATGGTGTGCAAAAGCACTCCAAATGAGAACCAGCTGTGCAAGCATGAAAGTCTGAGTTTGGATCCAAGGCACCTACATATGATCTGGGCACGCTGGCATGTGGTCATAGCCACAGTTCTATTGGGGTGGAAGACAGTTGGATTAAGGTGTCTTGCTGTCCTGACCAGTCTAGCCACTTGGTGATCTCTAGATTTAGTGAGAGACCTCTTAAAAATGAAGTAGAGAAGCAATAGAGTAACACACCCAGCACCAACCTCTGGCCTCCACACACATAGACACATGCATTTATACAAACACATACCCACACATGCCCATGTGCGTATTGATTTAAAATCAGTGTCAACTTTGTTTGATAAAACTCACAGGTTTCCCTATGCATTCAGCACCCATCCACTAGGAACTGTTGTGAAGCTGGACTGTGAGGCAAAATAACTTTTTCAGGATATAGATTACTTTCTGTGGCTGTGATAAAACATTCCAACCAAAAGAACCTTAGGGGAGGAAAGAGTCTATTTGCCTTATAAGCCACAGTACATCACTGGGGGAAGAGAGAGCAGGACCACGAAGTAGAAAGCATGCTTGCAGGCTCAGTTGCTAATTTATTCTTTTGTAGCCCGGGACACCTGCCCAGGGAATGGTGCCACCCACAGTAGGCCCTCCTGTGCCACTTATCAATCAGTAGTTTCACACACACACTTGCCTACCAGCCACTCAGATCTGGACAGTCCCTCGGTTTAGAGCCTTCTCAGGTGACTGTAGGCTGTGTCAGGTTGACAATTAAAGCTAACTAGGGCACAGAGGAAGGAGCAAAGGACATAAGTCCTGATCATTTCACCAACACTTCAGATTGAATGGTAACCAGTTGCCAAAATGCTTAATTCATTATGTCAGTTGATTCATCAAACAGTGGGCTCCATCATAGTCATCTAATTTAGTGAAAATGGCTTATGCAGCTGAGATAAGAATGGCTCTGTAGAGGCAAGACAATTCCAGTTATTGTCCACGGCTTCTAGTGCTTGTGATTTGTATGCTTCTGGCTTAATTGCACGCGACTGTGCTTCTGCTAGGAACAATTCATTGCACCAGAAACCGAGGTCTTCGTCTTAATGGAATTAAAATAAAAAAGATTTGTTGTTCATTAAAACAACAGCATCATTACATTAAGAAGTGGAGAGCCTCCACCAGTTTGCTGTTCAATACAATGGAGAATGGCATCCAATTACAATTGGTACCTAGAGCCCGGGCTCCGTGGGGGAGCCCCGTCTGAACGGCACAGATCACTCACACCCTCCTGGCTACAATAAGCAAATGTGCTCGCGGAATCTGTAGGCATTTGGGAAGGGCGACAATACAGGGGTGTATCACAGGGGTTTAGAACAAATTAAATACAAATTTTCCTATATGAATTAATACACTTCAGCCTGCTTGGAGATCTTTTATTACACACACACGCACACACCTCCTTTTATGATGCACAAGACATGCTTTATGTGCTGAGCTTGGGCTTTGGTATACATTAGCCCACCCTGGAATACAGGTCCCCACTCACTATTTTTATTTTATTTTAATTTCCCCTGCTTTAATTAAGGTAGTCACTGTTCACAGGCTCGTCTGGGGGTGCTCAAGGGATAGAAAAAGTAAAGGTTATTTTACCTTGAGTCGCTTGCTGACTTTCAGCATCTGCCTTTCTTGTTACATAAGCAAAGTAATTCTCAATAATTAAACATATGAAGCAAAAGAAGTGCAACCGGCCGATAAAAGTTAGCAGGAATTTCAGTGCTAACACGCTACTTGGTTCTTAAGAGAGGCTCCTAAGCCGTCCCACTTTTATTCTAGTTTTAATATTGGGTCAGTAATTAACATCTTGTTTCGGTTTTGCCTTATGAAAGTATTTTTAATTATGTGTATATACATGTGGCAAATGCTCCCCAGAGTTCAGAAGAGGGTGTGAGATCCTTTGGGGCTTCAGTTACAGGTGGTTGTGAGCCTAGCCTGGATGCGAACTCCCCACCCCCGCCCACCATCCTGGAGGTAGTCACAGAGCCTGGCGACCAGGACATGTCTAGCTAGGACTGGGATTCTTCTCCATGCAAAGGAAGCATTCCCAGCACCCCAGTCCCAGCCAATGATAAACACTCACACAAAAACCCCTACCCACTACCCATTTCCCCAAGGTTTCTGTAGCCCTTATTCCACACAATAAAGGCAGCTGCATCACTGAGGGCTCTATCACTGAAAGATGCTATCATTCCCCACCTCTCCTCACCTCCCCCACCAGGGGATCAAGACCTTGCTGCCCCTCCCCTCCTCGCTAAACTTCATTCCTTTGCATCCAGCATCTCTTTGCTTTGGTGCCTGGATGCCCCAAGGGAAGGAGACCCCAGGCTCCAGAATGACATTTTTGCCCATTCTACTATAATGAGCCTTTTCAGAACCCACAGCCAAATGGGTTCCTCTCTTTAACCAGTCCTTTTTATTTGAATCATTAATAAATTTTCTTTGTTTATTCTTGTTTATTCTTTGGATATGCTTATCCTGATTGTTCACCATAAATGGGTATGAGTTTATGAGTTGAATTCTCATTCAGGGCACAGACTAACCTAGAAATGATAGGGCTCTCATTTGGCCCTGTGTGACCCCACATTTTCCATGCTGATTAATCTATCCTATGTCATGTGCTATTTGCATTTCACAGTGAATGGTGCTGGATTGGCCATGGCTACTTGTGACATCATTTTCCTGAATGGAGGGAAGCCAGCTAACTTCTTGGACCTTGGAGGTGGAGTAAAGGAATCCCAAGTCTATCAAGCATTCAAGCTGCTCACAACTGATCCAAAGGTAATTCTTTTTTATAGGGAGATGACCTAGCGTCCAGCATTTTGCCTCCAGGTGATGTAACTTGGTACCTGCTGCTAAGAATGAAGAAGCCAACAGATGTTTTGCATCCCCGGGTATCAGTCCTGCTGTCTATTCGTTGCAGTACATGATAATGCAACTTTTGTTTGGTTTAAGGCTTATAAGCAGCTTCTCATTTCAGAAACTCCCACAGAGTCTTGGGAGGCAGACTAGAACACAAAAGACAGTGTGTCAAGCAATGATGTACTGTTGATTGGCATGTGCTTGGGGCAACTGACACCATGACATTAGTCCCATGTTTCCATGACTTAGGGACTCAGCCTCACATTCCTTTTGTAAAGATCCTGAAGCTATTACCAGAGGTATTAGAAATGTATATAATTATAGGATCACACATTACAGTACATAACATATGGAAGGAGTAATAGCCTCACTGTTTCTTGTTTCTGTGTGTGGTTTCATCTCCATCCTTAATTATGACAGTTGGTAACATATGGATTAAGTAGTACATTACTAAATGTAGTTTTCTAAATTGCACTGTTGATGTGTTAAAAATCTTTTCTTTTTAACATAGTGTAGGAGACTGCAATGTAGTGTCACTGTGCCTAGCCAGGGGTACTGGAGATGTTTAATGAGTTTTTGGTCAGTTCCTTGCTTTGCTGTAATTGTCCTTTCTTGCAGGGATAGCAGTCTCCCTTCTTATATAGAATGTCCCCACTTTTTAAAAATGTGTACCTTTCATTGTGTTAAACTTCCCCCAATATTTTTAGAGTACTAAAAAAATTTGTTAGTTACTAAATTATTTGAAAACATAAGAAATCTAGGCCACCACAAATGCAAACAAGACTGTAATTGCCCTCCACCCCCACTAAGACGTGCAGTACAGCTTGCTTCCCTGGGAATTCTTCTCATGAAGAAGTGCATGGGCAGCAGCCTGTTTGAGTTCATATGAAGTGTGGTTCCATATGCTCAGTATGCTCATCAGTATTTCCTGTGCTTTAGTGCGTGCTGCGTATGATACAACATACCATTTGCTAGCTCTTTTCCTCCTATTCACAAAATGAGTGCTAAGATATCGTTAGCTACTTCTCTTCAGTTCTCCAGTGTTGTCCAGGAATAGCAAAGCCAATGCAATCTAACTAAGCCACTCATCCATCCAAGGTATTTGGGAAAAGACCTGTTTACAAACAGCCTGTGCTGTTTAAGTTTTGTTGGTCACCAGCGGCTCTGCCATCCTGTGTTGTCTTGCACCTGCCTTCTTCACACTTCCTTCATTTTCCTCCTAGAGCTTCCCATGTGAAGCGCACTCCATAGGGGCTGCAAACATCTGGCACACAGGGCCTGGCTCTCTGATCTAAGATGTATCAGAGGACAATACACCACTGATTGTTATCACCTGTGAAATTTTCTTACGTTAATGTAGAGAGCTGCTGAGGGTAAAGCTACCAAGACAAGTATCAGGAATTTTCTTTAAAACATCTTTTCTTAGGAGCTGCTCTTGAATTTTAACTTTATAAAAGTACACAGTGTAAGGGATTTTAAAAATGACTTGCAGAGCCATTTTTGTTGTTTTTGTTTAAATAGTCTCTTCAAAAAATTGACTTTACCTTATGGAATATTTTCAAGTGCTTGGAGTGTTTCAACTTTTTTGAGATTGGCTGCCGTCCTGGGATGGATAAAGGGATGTGGGAGTTATTTTCCTCACACTATATCAGGAAAATGAATGCATAGCTCATCTCCCAGAACATTTTCCAAACCTTGAAATTTCTAAGCTGGTTAAAAAGCAGGGAAATCAATCCATGTTTTCAATCCTGGCTTTGGTTCATGCAAGTCAGAGAACAGTGGGGTGGGGGGGGAGACAAAACAAAACACAACAAAACATAAAAAGGTACAGATGAGTTGATTTGATTTTGCAAAGAAACAGCTTGTAGCTCTGGCAGTAATTATTTCTAATAGAGCCCCGTCCACCTGCCGACAAGTGGTGCTTCCAAGATCCCACAGCTAATTATTTCAAAGTATTGTCTTGTTACATATAAGAATTAATCAGTTACAGTCACTGAAACTAAGAATTACAAACGGCTTGTTAGTGTTGAACTCTAAACTCAAACCAAACTCACAGCCTGTGTGTTTGTTGTAATACAACATAATTTTACTGGGAAAGTAATAAATACGGCGTCATTCAAGAAAAACATGACAGATTCTCATGTTTCTATCCACACTGTTAGCCATACCTCTGAATTTTACATTTTTTTTGCTTGCCTAGGAAGCCCAAATGCTTGTTTTCAAGTGTTAATTCAAACATCTGCATATCAAATTTATGTATTTGTTTATAAGACACAGAGTTCCTCTACTAAGAACTGTCTTAACTAAGAGTCTTGTATATAGCTCAGTTATTTCATATGAAATTTATCATTGAATTAAATATGAATTAAATATTCATATTTCATATGAAATTTATCATTCAGTGTTTTCTTGTTCTTGTATTTTCCATCAGGGCCCCAGTGGAGAGGAAGGCAGTGGGGTCTGTCTACTGTTGGGAATGTAGGTCTCGTCTGCTCTTCACTTTGACTTACAGCATTCTTAAACACAGGGCTCGATATGACAGAAAGTGGAGTTCTGTTATAATCTTCAGAATCTGGACACATTTAAAAGAAAAATAATATATAGAATGTTGTCCTTGGATTTTTGTTTTTGTAAATTATGCTTTGCCCAGTATTGCTAATTCTGAGTTTAGAATTCTAGGCACAACATCTGGCCTGTGAAGTATCTTGTGTAAATGAATAAAGCAAAGGCTAGTTGGCACGGTTTCATCAATAACCCCTGTGCTGGCCTGCGTTAACTGAGTCTGTTGCCCTCTGGGGACCTTCTCTCGAGAAGCAGGAGTAGGCGAGTGGCATTAGGGAGGCACCTGGCTTGCTTGGACTGTGCTTCCTGGTTTGTTGCCAACTTAGGAGTGCCTCTTTGAGAACCCTTCAGCTGCCAAAAGGGAATGTGCTGCCTGAAGCCAAGGCCTCCTGTGAAGAGAGAGCCTTCTTTATGGGGCTCCGCCGGGAGACCGCCGGAGGGTAACCTTTACTACTTATTGCTATGGAAACTTGGGCATATTATTTAACTTTGAAGAGCCTCAGTTTCCTCTCTTATGAAGTGCTTACTAAAGAGGGTTGCTTAGATACAAGAATTAAAATATGGATATCGTTCTCTTTTGAAGGGACTTTTTATTGGATAGTATATTTAAAATAGTTAAGTAAGGGTAAGTATAACCTACTTATAAGGGTAATCATGCCTTGTACATGCTCCCAGGGAAGGGCTTTCTATGAAGCCTTCTTGTTTATCTTCACCACGTTTCTAAATTCACCATTTTAAATTTGCCATTCACTGTCTAAATTCACCTCAACATTTGTTTTAACCACAGATGTTAAGTATGTAGTTGGAAGAGTTATCACCAGCTGAGAATGCCCTTGAAACTGCCAACCAGATCAAGAAGTCTCCCTGAGCCCTCATGTACACTATGTCCAAATCCTTCTCCTAGCCTTACCTTTTCCCAAAAGGCAGCCACATGTCTTTCTGTGCACTGGCGCAGATTTGTCTTACCTGGTTTTGAACTTAACGTGTCACATGCTGTGTGCTCCTGTGCTGTGTCACCCTTCTCTTATCTTCAGGGGTGGTACTGGCCAGTCTTTTCCATTTCAAGCATCCTCACAGGTGCGTGGCAACACCCAGGCTGGTTTAAGAAGACCTTGCTTTGTTGAACACAGTTCATGTAATTCTTGGTCATTGGAATATTTTGTAAATGTTTAAATCAACATTATCTGTGAAGAAGATGTGAAATGCATTACTTTAGCCTCATTTCTAAAGCACAACAGAAACTTGTGTCATTGTTTTAAATGTTCAGTTCTTTGTCATTTTCAAAGACAAAGTCTTCCATGTAGACTGAAGGTATATGTGTAGAAATGAGAGCCATCTAACCAGGTTAACTGGAAAAGGAACTCTTATTTGTCTTTGTTTCAGTTGTTGTTGGAGGTTTATTATCTCCTTCTGCTAATCTAGGCCTAGTCTTGGAAGCTTCTAGCCTCTGTACTATCTAACCTAGGTCTAGAACGTTTTCAGCCTTGGAGACTTACTGCTTAATAAGTTTCTTGTTTCTACTGAGCTCTGGGCTGGCTGGTTTAACCCAGCTGTTGTGGCTCAAACTCCTCTCCCAGCTAACTTACTCAATCTGGCTTCTCTCTTGGCCCCTGAATTGTTCTGCTTGGCCTCCAACTAATTCCAGCATTCTTTTCTAATCTCTTCTGGTTCCTTCTCGGTCTCTGGGTCATTCAGTCTTTACTGAGTTCTCTCTCTGCAACCTGTCTTTCTGTTGCTGAGAGATAGGCTTTCTGAGGACAAATTCAGAAATACAACAAGATCTGCCTGCCTGTCTCCGAGTAAACCTTCACTTCCTAGATCACTGTAGGCAGATGGCCTGTTTGCAAGGGAGCATTTATTTCCTAGGTCACTGGAACTCTGGCAGGAGCTTGTTTTCTTAGGAATAACACAGGGCTGGTACAGCAACGACTTCATTGCTTTTGAAGCAACTGCCCTGTTACTCCTTTCCTTATAGGCTATTTGAAAATAGTTCTTTCACATACATTGTGAAAATTGGAGGAGTAGGCAGACTTTCTTTCTTTGTTGTTTCTGTTTTCTTTGATTGTTTGGATTTTTAACTTTTCCACAAATTTTTACTGTGTGTATTTTCTATATAAATGATGGGCTTCTGGGCGACAGGCTCATCTTGCATATTCTATGCTTTGTTGTTATGCATCCCTGTTTATCATTTACCATCCTTCCTCCTGCTTTTTCTCTTTATCTTTTCAAATAGCTCTGTTTTCAGTACTTTTTCTTTTAGTCTTAATTAAACCTGGATTCCACATATGAGAAAAAAAATTCCCTTTCTGGGTGTGGCTTATTACACATAACATGATAATCTGTTTCTATCCATTTTC